AGGTGTATGTGGCTGGCGCCTTAGCCACTTGAGCCGCAGGCGCCAAGCCAATAAGTACAAATATTAACAAAAGCTGACTAGCCAAATAAAAGGTCTGTGCATACTTTTCACGATCTTTGACACCACAAATAAACCAAGTCCTCACAAAATCAGTATGTAGCTCATGGCCACAGGTTGGACACCCCTGGAATAGACTGTCTTCCCTGTTCAACTTTGAACAGTATCAGGTCAGACACTGTCTGTCTCTTCCAGTGAATAGTAGTGGCTCAATGAAAACCAACTAGGCTAATAAAAAAAGTGCCTAGTGAGGGGCAGACTTCAGGTTCTGGTTTAGCTGATCCAACAACAGACTCTTATCTGGTCAGGAGGTAAGGGTCAATCTCACTTGAAAGGAAGGAAGAAGGAAAGGAAAGGCTGGTCAGAAAGATGCTTACAAAGAAAAGCACATTTGTCAGCTATGACAACATCCTCCATTTCCTTAAAAGTAGAAACAACTAATATACCCACTGACATTAGACCAGCTTGGCAAGTTTCTGTGTAGCAACTCAACAGACTTACTATTGAGTCAGAATTGTTGGAAATGTTTGTAATAATGCCAAATGAAAAACAAGATAAAAACTCTGGCCCCTGAAAAGTGTGCTTGTGGATAAGTACCAAACACACATGCATGACATACACACATACATATACACACACACACACTCTGATGTCAGGCTGCTGATGGTACTGTGTGTTTTTTTTTTTCACTTAGGGGGAGGAAAAAAAAATCTTTTTTTTAGAGACAGAGTCTTACTTTGTTGCCCTTGGTAGAGTGCTGTGACAAACAGAGCCCTTGCTGCTTCTCCTTCCTCACACCCCTTTTTATCTGGCTAACCCCACTTGGAGTTCTATGGCCCCCTGCATCCATCTCCCTTTAGTGTGGTTGCTCACAGCAACCTCCAGCTCTTGGGCTTAGGCGATTCTCTTGCCTCAGCCTCCCAAGTAGCTGGGACCACAGGTGCCTGCTATAATGCCCAGCTATTTTTTGTTGCAGTTTGACCAGGGCTGGGTTTGAACCCATCATTCTCAGTATATGGGGCCGGTGCCCTACTCACTGAGCCATAGGCACCACCCTTTTTTTTTTTTTAAGAGACTGTGTCTTGTTCTGTCACCCAGGCTGAAGTGCAATGATGCTATCACAATTCATTGAAACCTCAAACTCCTGGGCCCAAGGAATCCTCCTGCCTCAGCCTCCCCAGTACCTAGTTAATTTTTCTTATTTTATAGAGATAGGGGTCTCACTATGTTGCCCAGGCTGATCTTGAGCTCCTGACCAAGTGATTCTCCCACCTCAGTCTCCCAAAATGCTGGGAATATAGGTCTTAGACACCTTTCCCAGCCAAAAACATATTTATTTTAAGTCATGGGGAACAAAAAGGGATTTTTTTTCCATACTTGGAACTAATGCCCTTCTCTTCTTGAGTTCTAAAAGGCAGGATCAATTTCTTATGTCATCAACAGTTCAATTTTATGGATCTACAAGTTAAAGAAGTCTTAGGGCTATTCTTACCTCCTGCTTCCAGGCCACCACCCCCAGCACTACTCTCCACTACCACAGGAAGCAAAGTAGAAGGGTCAAGCAGGGGAAAAGCAGGACAAGGCTCATAATAAAATGAACAATACCTTTCTTGGTCGTGGTGAAATATTTTGAGTCAGTCATTTTGGTCCCTTATTTGTGGCCAGACTCTGCAAGACAGAAGAGAGGGGTGACTTTGAGCTGTGTTCCATTCCACATTTCGTTATGGTATGCAGGAGGACAAAGAGAAGAAGGATCCAGCACATATGCAGTATGGGAGGTATCTGCTTATTTCTTTACTGGGCAAATGAACTATTGATCCTGGCTGATCAGATTTTTTTTTTTGAGACAGAGTCTCAAGCTGTTGCCCAGGGAGTACCATGGTGTCATAGCTCACAGCAACCTCCACCTCTTGGGCTCAAGCGATCCTCTTGACTCAGTTTCTCTATTTTTTAGTAGAGACAGGGTCTTGCTTTTTGCTGAGGCTGGTCTTGAACTCTTGAGCTCAAGCAATCCATCGCCTAGGCCTCTCACAGTGCTAGGATTTACAGGCATGAGCCACCACACCTGGCCGGCTGATCAGATTTCAGAAGAAAATTCTTCAGGATCTATCAAATGTTTCAGTGTGTGTAACTTTTGACCCAGCAATTCTTCTATGAATCTCTCCCAGATAAGTATCTATACAAGAGCATAAGGATTTTAACTGTAGTGCTATCCACAACAATGTGCCATTGAAAATAATACCCATCAATAAGGGAATGGTTAAACACTCTGAAAGAGCCTACAGATTAAAAAGCACTTAAAAGCTGTAGTTAAAGCAGCCCCTTTGTGGGGCTCCTTCTGTTTAGCACTGTTCTAAATGCTTTGCACATGTTAACTAATTTAAAACCTCATCACAGCATCATGAAATACTGTCAGCACTCTATAAATACAGTCAATGTGCTTGTAAAATGCTAATTTTAAAAGGCTTAAGATTTCTTCTGTCTACAACTTTTCTGAGCTTCTGAAACAGTGACATGCACTATTCATCTTTGGAGAGGGCTAGAATCTTTATATTGCACTCTATGGCATTCCACAGCTCTATCTGGCCAGTTTTCTCAAAGCATCTCTCAGAATATCTCCTATTACAAAACTCACAGTATAGAGTACTAATCGAAGGCAACAAGACAAAGTAAGTACCAAGGCTCCCTTGTTCATTCAACAAATGTTTTGCTGAGCCTCTACTCTGTGTATTGCCTCAATAGTTCCTCTTGGCCAACAGAAAAAAGAAGCTACACAGGAACCAAGCTACCCTGCTACATGGCCAAAGCTTTGTGATTGTTCTACAACAGTATTTTTCAACCCTTTTTTTTTTTTTGAGACAGAGTCTCACTATGTTGCTCTTGGTAGAGTGCCGTGACATCACAGCTCACAGAACCACCAACTCTTGGGCATAAGTGATTCTCTTGCCTCAGCCTCCCAAGTAGCTGATACTACAGGCGCCCGTCATAATGCCCTGCTATTTTTTTCGTAGCTGTCATTGTTTAGCAGGCCCGGGCTGGGTTGGAAACCTCCAGCCCCAGTGTATGTGGCTGGCACCCTAACTGCTGAGCTACAGGCACTGAACCATTTTCAACCCTTTTTTTTAATCTCACAGCACACTTGAACCTACAGTTAAACTTCTGTGGCATAGTTAAATTATGTTAATAAAAAAAATTTTTAAAATATACTTATTGTGTTTTGAACTTTTTTTTTTTTGAGATGGAGCCTCAAGCTATCCCCCTGGGTAGAGTACCAGGGCATCACACTCACAGAAATCTCCAACACCTGGGCTCAAGC